CTATTTTTTCCTTCACTACCTCAAGATGTTGCGGTGCTGACCGCCTTATTTTTTGTTTGATTGGCTTGAAGCTTGGGTCGACGTTCAACTGATGACATGCTACCTCAAATGGTACGCCAGGCATATTAGCAATGGTCCATGTAAAAACGTTGGCATATTCTCGTAAAAGAGTGACGAACTCAGTTTTCTGCTCGGGACTCAGAGCAGTCCCTAACAAAAAGTACTTTTTGGGATCCCCATTCTTGTCTAAAGGTACTTTAGTCAAATCTTCAATTATTCGGTCCGTAACTTTCTTTTCGGCGCCTAAAGGTACTTTAGGGCTTTCCTCAACAGCTTGATCGGTTGGTTTAACCAAGCTGTAAAAGGTTAATTGCTATTTCGCCTCCTCAGAAATTGAGTTTTTCCCACGAGCTTAAACCCCTCCTTTGAGTTTGACCGAAACTAACAAATAAGTTCTAGCACTGACCTGATCTCCTCGGATATTGACTATTCCTTCAACTGAAGGGAATTTTAGCATCTAGTGGTACGTTGAGGGTACCGTCTTCATTGTGTGTAGATAGGACCACCCCATTATCACATTATACGTCAAGACCATATCCACTACCAGGACCTCGGTCATGATGCAAACTGGTCCTGTCTTTACAGACAATGTGATCTTCCCACTAGGAAGAACTGTTTTTCCACTAAAATCGATAAGTGGAGTATTTGAAGGCTTAAGATCCTCCTTCTTAAGTCCAAGTTTCTCAAATAGATCCAAATACATGCTCTCTAACAAACTCCCTGGATCAATCAACACTGTTTTTACATCAAAATTCGTAATCTGAAGCGTAACGACTAGGGCGTCATTGTGCGGTTAGTGCACTCCGACTAAGTCCTGCTCGATGAAACAGATTGCTTCGGTTGACTCCTCTATCTTGATTCTTTTGTTGGTCACCTCTGGGGTCAACCGCAACTCATACACCTCTCTCTCATTGGCAACTTTTTGGATATAAGCCCGAGCAGAATTATTTGTGGACATCTGCGGGTTGGTAGCAACATGGATCACATCAATCGCTCCTGCTGGAGTGTTATGGTCTCCATTTGGCTCGGTCCTCCCATCATCGAATTTTTGTTTACCTTCTATGAATTCGGCGAGATTTCCAGCCTAGAACAGCCCCAAATGCTGCTTTAGAAATCGGTAGTTCTCAGTCATGTGGCCCACGTCCCTATGATATAAACACCTGAAATTTGGATTCCTTTTAGAAAGATCTCCTATTAACTTGCTCGACCATTTGAAAAATGGCTTTGTCTTGATTTAGCTTAATATTTTGTATATTGGTTCCTTGAACAATGTATTTATCCCCAGAAACGGGGACTTTTGAGGATATCCATCCTTATCATTATTTATTCCTCCCTCTCTGTTTGGCTCAGTTTGCTTGTCTCTGTTGAACTATCTCTTGCTTGGATGTTCTTTAACCTCGTCCCTGGATAAGTCGTCATCAACTTTGGCATACTTTTCAATCCTAGACATCAGCTCTTCCAGATCCGTGGCTGACCTTCTTGTGAGCAACTGATATAGGGAGTTCTCCTTCAACAACCCGATCTTGAAGGATGCAACTGCAATCTTTGGATTGCACCCTTCAACCTCGTTCATAGTTTTTCAATAACGATAAGCGTACTCTCATAGGCTTTCGTTATTCTTCTTCTTTAGCGTCAAGAGTGCTCCAACATCTTTCAGCTGCTTGCTACTCGTTATGAACCGAGCCATGAACTACTCGACTAACTAAGACCACCCATCAATCGTTCCCTTCGGTAGGCTGTCAAACCATTTCATGGCTGACTCTCCAAGACTACTAGGGAAGATAGTACAGAGTAGAGGCCCATTTTTTCGATGAATGGTCATTAGCTGCCTGTAATGTCTGATATGCGAGGCTGGGTCAGTATTCTCGTCATATAGTCTGAAGTTCGGGATGGTGAATTTGCTCGGAATTCGCCCCTTCTCGATCCAAACTGTAAATAGAAAGGACTCCGAACCGTCTCCATATTCTCCTGTCGCTCTTTTGGCTAGATCCTTAGCCGGCCTCTGTTCTGGTCACCTCAAGCGGTTGTTGAGTTCTTTGGTAATGTACTGTTTCCATGCAACCTCCTCCTGAACCCGAGGTTTCTTCTGTTGGTGACGATCTTCATTGTTGTTTCTGAGTCTGTGGGGTTTCCTTTCAGGACTTTTCCAATGGCTTTCCCTTGCACGTTTCTCTTTCCTGGTCATCTCTTTTACCATGGTTTTTAGTTCTTCATTTTCTTCGATCAGATCTTTTTATCTGGCATAAGATTTCTTGAACAACTTGTCATGAGCATCAAGTCTATCCTGCAAGAACTAAACCAATTTTATCAGGGAGTCGTTTTCCCCCTCGGCACAGAGGGATTCACCACGATCTTCAATTTGATGGTTCTGATTCTTCAAGAGCCTGAAACTGGCAGAGAACATCTCTTTGCTTTTACGGGATCTAGAAGGGCTTCCTCTTGCCTGAAACAGCGTGTTGCTACCAAGTGGGATGGATGGAGGATCAGAGTCTCCTAAGGCGAAACTACCTCTAGGCGATCCAATTGCACTTTTGAATTTAGACATTGTGACTTCTTGTTGCGAAAGATGAAAATTTTCCCACAGACGACGCCAAATGTAAGAGGCAAAAAATCGAGATTACCTCCTATTGGAATTGAAATATTAATGTGTATCTGAACTTGTTCTCACAATCTTCCTTTTCTTGCAAAACAAACAAACTGCCTAAGATCGAAGTGCTTCGATCGAAGACACTCCGATTCTTAAGTCAGTAAATATAATGAAATGAATGAAAGAAGACCAAGAGAGTTCAGCGTACCCTTCTTTTTGGCTCTTTTTGCTTTTTATAGATGGTCATCCCCTTAGGGTTTCTGTGATTTTTGATTCAAGGTGGCACACTTTCCTTAGATTCAGTGATTCAGTTTGAAAAATTGTTGATATTTCTCTATTATTTTCTCCTGATATCTTCAATTTCTCTAATTTGTTTATCTGATTGCCTAAGTTATAGGTGAATCTTTATCCTTCTGTTTATTATTTAAAACAGCTCGGACATATCGAATGTTGAGCACACTTGATAATTGCCGAACAGATTAAGGGACTTGGTTTGACACAAATTGATTTCTTCAATTGCCTTGCCGAACACTTTAATAGACTCGGCTTAGTACAAGCCAAGCTCTTTCATTGCTTAGCTGAATAGGCTGATGAGTTCGATCATAAAGAGAATCGAATTTTTTCTGTCATTGCCGAACCTCTAATTAGCTCGACTTGATTAAAAAGCTTAATAAAGGATTCTTTATCGCTTGTCTTATCTTATCAACATCACGTGAGTACATTTAATGTCATGTCACATGTAATCATGAGGTTTAACCCCTTCAACTTTCATGATCATACTGGTTTTTTTTTTTTTTTTTGAAAAAAAAAAAGAGAATGGGAGTAAGAAAGGAAAAAGGACATAAATAAATGACACTCAATCAATTTAACAGTATTATTTTCGAAAATCCACAAATCGACAACATTGAACATGTTACATGCAAACCATGTATGACCCAAATAATTTTTCAATCAAAATCATAACATCAATGTGGAAAATCCCAAATCTCACAAAAAAACTTATCGATGTGAAAAATACAAATCCTAAACCGAAAATTGCAAATCGCAAATCCCAATTTGACCTAAACAAATCTAACAACCTGTACGTTTTTTAACCATCAAATACCTAATATATTCAATTACTAAACAGAGCGTTACATGTCATCTGTATTATACCTCATTCAAAACCCTAATCTAAGGTTTGAATCAATACATTTTTGGAGAAAATGTCAATACCTTCTGCTGTTGTGTTTCGTCATTTTGTTGCTTCGACTCACCAGATATGTAATGCCCTAAGCAAGATTGTAACTTGAATTCACTAGATTGTTGTCTCTGGATTTCTCCTTTGCCACCTCTTCGTATGATTCAATAGTATTTGCATTGACATTCAGTGTGTGTAGTAGGTGAGTGCATTTATGTAAACAAGGATATAACAGTCTTTTACATTTGTCTTCTAATGGAGTTAAGAATTTCGATTCAATCTATAACATTAGGGGGTCAAGTGTAGGTTTTTAAAGATGAAGGAGATAATATGTAACGGGAATGGGACTGAATCTTAGGGAGGTAATCTGTAGTTGGACCTTTCATTTTTTTTCTTTCAACTTTTGTTCACGCACGCCAAGTGCATTATCTTTCTTACTATTCGTAAGAACATAGAGAAGCTAAAAAAAAAAAAAACTAAGGGCTCGTTTAGTAGACGTATTATGATAGGATTAAATATTAAATTATATTATTTTTATTTAATTGAGCCTAATATTTTGTTTAGTAATCAAATTTGATACAGTATTAATTTTAAAAACGTATATTAATTATATACTTATCGTANAGAGGATTAAATATTAAATTATACTATTTTTATTTAATTGAGCCTAATATTTTGTTTAGTAATCAAATTTGATACAGTATTAATTTTAAAAACGTATATTAATTGTATACTTATCGTATATTATTTGTATGATAAACCTATATTATGAATGTCTTTTAATACTACCAAGAGATGTGGTACAATAATCCAACTCAAATGCATTATTCTATACATTTATTATTATAACCCCCTAAATGATAAAATCAAGTTGTCATCAATGTAACAAACATTGATTGAAGGTATTTTTATCAACTTAATATTAATACGAAAAAATAATTATCTAACCAAACAACCGATTGAATTAAATAACTATTATCCAAAGTTTATATTGTGTATTGTTAAATATTAGATAAAATTACGTATTACTCTAATATCATATTTAATTTTTATCTTTTATTTATCTGTAATGTATTAGACTGTATTATTTTATTCAATTCATTTATTGTTAATACGGCAACCAAACAAACCTAAAATTATTATTACCAAATAATACATTCCTCTTTTGCTCAATTGCTAATAGAGTATTCTACAAAAATAATGATTTATATATTTCTTTTTTTTTTTTTTCAATTACAATCACCAAAATAAAAAGAATAAAAGAATTGAATTACATAAACCAAACAAGAAACCAAGCATTGCTATGGGGAAAAAGCTCTGCTCAAAGGACAATATATGTTAAGCAACCCTTCTCTTTCCTATGTTGAGTTGTTGAGAGCACATTCGGGAGGGAAGCCTTGAGGGAAGCGCTTCAAATCAGAGCAATAGTTATAAACCATATAGTTCTCCTGAACCCATTTAAGCCTTTCTTGGCTTGTGGAATCCAACTCTTCATTTAACCATGAATTATTGCCAGAGGTTGAAGATGATGATGAAGAGCTTGAACTGCAAGAAGATGAACCAGAAGACCATACACAGGCATTGGCATTGAAGTTTCTGTAAGAGGCAGTGAAAGGAGCTTTGGTCCAGTCTGTCTTGACTCGACCACCCTGTGTGGCCCAGTCATCAGCATTCCATAAGCTGGAGTATATCCTCATTGCTTGGTTTTTGGGGTATGCAACACCCACTGATTCGGCATTCTTGAATTC